TATATATAATTTAATTATATATATATAATTTAATTATTTCGAGCCAAATAGAACTAATACTAATAAATAAAATTTTATTTGTGTTGGACTCATTTATATATCGAGTGCAAAAAAAAATTTCATGTTCCACTAATTTACCAAAAATTTCATGTTCCACTAATTTGCCCGATAAACAAATCAAACACATGTTATTTAAACAAGAAGAACTAACTATTTTGAGAGCTCTACTTCCAATCTACAGGCTGACCTTGTTGCTCCCAAAGTATTCGTGACCATGTCTTTTATTGTGGAAGGCAAAAGAGCCAAGAAAACTAATAATATAATATCATAACATTTTAATATATATCCTTCCCCATCACCATCCATCCTTGGTTAAATCATTAACTAGAGCTTGGGCAAAAAATCATGTGCAATTGAGTAAGAGGAGGCTGGCGAGTATTGGTGTACATTGTATAGATAAAACTAAAAAAATCAAACGTAGCAAAACTTACTCAATAGGCTTGCTTGAATGTTGAAGTATCAGTTCGGTCAATGACAATAATTTTGACTACATGCATTTGATTAACGGGGGCAAATTGATTAACCAGCAACCTAATTATATTGAAATCTTAAAATAGTATATCAAAAAAATTATGACAATAATAAAGAAAAACAAAGATTAAGTTGAAAATCATTTCTTCCGCATGCCAAAACTATTTCCACGAGCCAAATGGTGTGAATAAATAAGGGTGTGCACTAAGAACAAGTCTGCGTGGACCTTGAGGATGCCCAGCAGAAAGAGAAAGGAAAAGGTATCAGGGACAATGAAGACTCACCAAAACATAGCAAGTCACACCCAGAAAAAAAGGAGGTACAACCAACTAGTCATGAACTGCACGTGCAACATTCAGTCCTCATTTGTAAATAGACCAAAATAACCACGTGAATGGTGAGATTTGAGGGTACGGAATGTAATTACAACCTATATCTATAAATGGTAGAGGAGTATCTTGATGGTGGAGGAAAAATTCGTTTAATGCTTCATTTGTTCAGTGTGTCTCCTGGACAGATTCAGATTCAACATTCTAAAAGGTGTGATAAGCATGAAGATATGTCGTCAACAAGAAGAGGGGCACAACGATATCAAAAAGAGGCAAGAGATCAAAGGGCAATAGCCAGCGCCCCCCCCTCCCCAATGGTGGAGGAATCTCTCGGTGGTGGGAGACACTTATGGAGGGGGGAGGAAAAATTCGTTTAACGCTTCATTCCTTGGGTGTGTCTCCTGAACAGATTTAGATTTAACATCCTAAAAGGTGTGCTAAATGTGAAGATATGTCGTCAGCAAAAAGAGGGGCACAAAAAATCTCAAAGAGAGACAAGCAGCCAAAGGGCAATAGCCGGTGTCACCACCCCTCCCCTCTAATGGTGGAGGAGTCTCTCGGTTGTGGGGGACACTTCAAGAGGGAGGAGGAAAAATGCATTTAACTCTTCGTTCCTTGGGCGTGTCTTAAGGAAAAATTCAGATTCAACGTCCTAAAAGGTGCGGTCAGTGTGGAGACACACCATCAACAAGAAGAGGGGCACAAAGATCCCAAAGAGAGGCAAGCGACCAAAGAGCAATGGTGAGCACCCCCTCCCCCTAGAAGACATTGAAGAAAGCATAATGAGAGGAATGCAGAAGATGAGGGCTCAAATCATTGAACAAGTAACGGGTCAATTAGTCGAAATCCTAAGGATTGTCACCGATTTAGCAGGGAACGGGACGCCACAAGGACACTACCAGCCATAAGAACTAGCTCCTATACATGACAACGGCATGGAGGACCCAATTTGAAAGGAATCAGAGACTCACAATATTGAGACATCATAGGGTTCGCCCAGATATAAAGACAGTGTGTTAGCCGCGCAGAGGCACCTTACCAGCCGAAAACTGCTTTCTCCCTCCAGATATATAAGATGAAACCCCCAAAGAAATTCAAGTTGTTGGCATGAGAGGCTTACAAGGGAAGGTCTGACCCCAAAGATTACCTTGTAGTTTTTGAATTGGCCATATGTCTATTCAAATTCTCAGATGGATTTAAATGTAATCTGTTTTTCACCAGTCTAAAGTTGTCACCTTTGAAATGGTTTCACGCCTTGCCATCAAGAAGTATCAATAGTTTCGGTGATTTCCAAAGATTTTTTTTGGCACATTCATCAGTGTTTAGTGTCCTGTCAAGAGCCCGCAGTCATTGTGGCAACTTAAGCTGAGTAATAATGAGAACCTACGTGGATTCTTAGTGCATTTTCAGAGGGAAATTCTAGAGATAAAAGACCTCAAAGTAGACACCGTTGTAAGCATTTTAAAACAAGCTTTGAGATCTTAGATATTCTCTTATGATCCACCATCAACAAACCCAAGACTTGGTTGAACTATTACAAAGGGCCAACAAACACATGTTGGTGGAGACCGCTCTAAAGAGTGATTTGGAGAGGCACTAAGCCTAGAAAAGAGCTCCGCCCTCCTTGTCGCCCAGTTGAAATAATTAACTATGTAATTATGAGAACATAAGACCACTCTTCTCCTAAATTAGAGAAGATTGAGTTAGAAAATTGTACAACAGTAATTCATTAATAATAGTCGTAATATGGTTGTACTGAATGTACTTCTCAGTGATTGCAGAAAGTTTGTGGAGGATTTTAGTGTAGCGCCAGACATCATATACTTTTAGAAGACATTTATCATGATTCAGTATAACATTTTGAAGAAATATATCTTCTCAAATAAAGAAAATATTACTTTAAAAATGCGTCTGATTACCTGGATGATAAAAATCTTCCTAAGTCTACGGAACTTGGGTATTTTTCCTTACCTTATAATTGTAAGATAATGTTTATTTTAATTCAGGGGTCTCGTTTCATATAAGAGAAAACTCTCATAATTAATTACATTTCTAGAGCTATGAGCGCTATAGAAAACTTTTTATTAATGTAATGAGTCGGGTTACTAAAAGATTGAACTTTCATAGCTGGAGCATTGAAGATATAGAAAGGAACCAAGTTGGAAGAATTAAGCTCAAAAGTGTGAGATTTATAGTTTGATGACTCTGTTTCAGTTAAAAAAGTCTTAAGTGAAGGGATTTAACTATGTAGGAAGGAGTTGTATCTCAAGAAAGATGGTCGAAGCACCTAATATTGCATGTGAATTGGCCAGGTAGAGTCAAAAGATGACTTATGAATACTTACTTTGACAGATAAAAAATGATTGAAACTCCTGAACTAAAGGACAGAGTCAGGTGAGAAATATTTTTAGATTGAAGCTAAAACTCTGAACTCTATAAGGAATCCTGGACTAACCTAAATTTTGGGAATAACGTCTCCGGTCAGAATGCCCATGACTTTCTATCTTCCTAGGAACATTGATATCCATTGACTATAA